TTGCAAAGAGGTTGTGATAATGCTCGAACTGATACACTGGACACGGTCCCGACCGTAGATTCAAATCGAGTGTAGAATTTCGTCGCATCTAAATGCTCAGCGCGCGCAAATTCAAATCACATCTTTGGAAATATGCGACTCAATTGCCTCTAATTTTGAAAGTATTGGTTTTGAAAGTGGATATATCAATCAAACCCAAAGGATGCAAGACGAGGAACTTAACGCTTTACGTAAGTGTGTGGTTCTGTGCTACGTTTTCTGATGACCCGAAAGTCAGGTTCTTGATCACCAATTCTGTGTTATAGCGTTTTGAATTCAGGAGAAAAAATGTAGATCGTGGGTATAGAAACGGTATGACAACTCAAAGTACTCTAAATGGAAAAGTCACAAGGATTAATAAATATCAATAGCTGATTTCGATTCCGTGTCATTTTATTCGGAGACACCTTCTCTTAACTGAAATCATTCGTTGTTATCCGAACGTTATCAGGATGCCAATAACTCAATGACCTCACAGTCCACGAGACCAGGACCAGGATAACTTTTGAAAATCAATTATCACATTGCAGAGGGATAGTTTTAATGCTCAATCTGACAGAACCTGTAGAAATACAAAATCAAATTGTAGTACATTTAGAGAAATCAATTTCGACAAATTTAGCCTTCGCTGTCACAACCACTACTCTCGCTAGATGAAGACGAGTCGTCGTTGAGAGATGTGTCGCTGTTGCTTGCTTGGTCAAAGCAAATAGGTTCCACTTCTTCGACAGCACGGAGCGCCTGGTGCAGAGCAAGGAGATTTTCCGTCGATGATTTGATAGCATTGCAGATGACACAGGAGTCCAACTCGTGAAAAGCACACCCCAGCCGGTCGTAGACATCTTGAATGGTTGAAAGGTCGTATTCGAGGTATACGCACGACCGACTGTACCCTTCACGTTGGCACACACCGTTTTGATTGGCTGTAGCTCGGGCAACCCAGGTGCTGTGTAGACGACATGATGGCCACGCGATCGCGCCATGGACACCACTACAGGAGGGACATGCTCATCCACGTGCTTCTTCAACGTCTCCCAGATAGTCGACTTCAGGTCAGTTGGCGAAACAACCTGGAGCTGGTACGGTACACAAGCTTCGTAGAGCGCGCTCTTCTTCCATGTTCCCTCAGGCGTGGACTTCGGCATGCCCTTGTGATATTTGGCATTATCCATGACGAATACCGCCGACGCCCACCCCAGTTCTTCAACTTCGTCAAGCAGCTTGTCGAACCAATCATCAGAGTAATCATGGTTGAACATTGAATGGTAGTCTTTCGCCGTCTTGCCATTCTTCTTCCCACCAACGAAAATGTCCAGACCGAGCAGGTGGGACACGTCGGAGCCGTCATCAAGGATACCGGCGATGAAGCAGTATCGTCGCCCTTTGTGCTTGGGCATGCCGAGCGTAGTGGTGGTGAATGAAGCACTCATCAAGGTACACAACAGGTCGACGGGATGCAATCGTCACGGTAGGCACAATTGCACGTACGCGTCTCGTGCCTCTTCATGTGCTTTTGTCATTCGGTACTCCCTCACGCCAGACCGCTTGCCACGGGCGTAGCCTTGCTTGGCTAGGAAGGCTTGAACAGCGCGAAGACATGCGGCATAGTCCTTCTCATTGTCGTTGACGACACACACAACACTGCTCTCAACATGATAGGACAAGACGTCCTTGGCAACGGTGCGGGTACGGGTCACACAGCGGTCACGGATGAATCGTTGAACGAGTCCGCGGACAGCATGGGTGTCAGGTACACGAGAACGATGGTTTGTAGTGTTGGATGGAGGAAGGGCCTCCGAAATAGTCCCAGCGGTCAGAAACACGGCAAGGACGCTCTTCACACGTCAGTGACGTTTGCTGTATTGACCTCACGAAGGTTAGCTTGCAGCCACAGGATGTCCAGCTTTTCGTCAACAGTCAAGCTGCGCCTGCAGCGCAACTTGACAAAGGTTTTGATGCGTTGAATCGTCTCCACATCCATTTTGACTTTGACAAATTCGCTTTTGCGCCATAAGTTCGTCTATTCGCGAAAAAGGGTGGGAAACGATCGGCCCAATCAAGGCCGTGATTTTGGCACTTATTTGACGTAAATAGGATAAGAAATGAGTGAAATAGGTCAAAAGTAGTGATTTTCAATGTAATTTGTACAGCTATTTTGAGTTACCCATCTCGTTTGTCATATCAAGTTTTAAGGGTATGGCAAAGATTAATGCAGAAAAAAATCCTCACCTCTTGCAAGATAATATATATTGTGTTTCGCAAGTAATCATTCTTCAAGTGCGGAATCCTCGTCATTTCTCACAGTTTATCTATCATTTTGCGAAACGAATTGTGTTCCAGAATCTGACGGAGGCATAATCTTATTCACAGGAGGAGCAGAAGAATCTGATGTACTTTCAATCATGCAAATTAACCAAATCTATCCATAAAACCTCTTCTGGTCCCCTCGATGGTCTCGTGGATTGTCAGTCTATGAATACTGTCACTTGCGACGGTAAAGTTTAGAGTTGCCTTCCATAACCATCATATATCTTTCACTACTTTCACGTCGAAGCTCATCTGTCTTTCTTGGCTTGCGCAGTTGTTAGCCTTTTTCTGTTGCAACCATTTTCTTTTTTAGTGCTTCTTCCCTTTGTTTTTTCAATTCCTTGTCAGATATTTTGCACGCAATGCCATCGGCAGAGATCAAACAACCCCCGTGAAGCCTATCATCATCACTCTTGACCACAAGGTTGCACACCTTAAGTGACCCAATAGACTGTCATTGAAGCACAGCACCTTGTAGTATCGAGATGAATGCCGACTTCTCGCAGTGTTACGACCAATCTTGGCCATGGCCTGCATCGACGCATGCGTGCCATCAATCCGTGAAACGTCCCCCTGGTGGCTTGCTGACGATGAGCGACATGGAGTACAATGACAACATTGCTACTGACCGTGTGATTGTGGAAAACTTCGTTGGTCGTCTGAAGGCACTTTGATGGTGATAATGAGTGAGACTATGATAGTAATAGTGATGTGAGTGAGACTTTTACATGGAAGCGCGAGTACTTTGATCTCTACCTTCAAACTTGTGTTGCTCTCACTAATTGTCACGTTCGCCTATCTCCCTTGCGAGTGGAACACAGCTATGAGCGCAACCGGTACAGTATTTGAATGGCCTCATCTCATCGAGCGAAAAGAAGAAGCCAAGCGTACCGTTGCAGTGAAGAAACGTCGCGAAAAACGCAAATTGCGTCTGGGTACGTTTTTGCCGAGTGGTGAAAATGTCTACTTCAACTCGGACACTGAATTTTATCCAAGTGGTGAGGATAGTGGTGTATTTTAATAAAAAAATGTGTGATCAATATTTGTTGACAAAGTCCTTCAATCTTAACTGAATTATTCACGAAACCACCACACACATTAGAAACCACTTGACACGATTGGAAATGACTGAGTCAATTACGAAATAGGTCATTACACATTTTTGTACAAAATCGTTTTCGAAGTCACTTCGTGATTTCCGAATTTACAATGCATCGTGTCAGTGGCCCAATAATTGGTTGAGTGGTCTACTGATTTGGCGGCAAAACATCCCGCGAAAAAAATTTGCCCATACAGCCTGTTAGCCATGGAAAATGTCCGTGCCAAGCGCAGCAATGTTGATGTTTTCCAGTCCCACAGCGAAAATCTCGCCAAGGTTCTGAACGGCAATTCATTGTATCCAAACTGCGTTTGGAACCTCCACGAAACCAGAGGGCCGGCCCAGGGGTCCCACTACAAATACAAGGTGCTTGTAATGAAGCGCATGCCAGAGTACACACAGCGCCAGGACTGTAAGAAGAACGTCGCAATACTGGTGTGTCAATGCAAGTGGTGGTCATGACCCCCGCTCTTCATTCTGCCGAAAGCAAACGTATTCAAACGTACCACGCTTGGTGGTGTAATGGTTCGACGCTTGCTGTATCGAAGACTTCGCTCGTATCCACGAAGCTGTGAACTAGTATTCAGTTTTTTGAGTAGTTCGTCAAATAGGTTCCAAGACCCGTCCTTCTGCTGATGGTCATGTACAAGGCACATTGGTCAAACAAGACGATCGACTACGCGAGGTCCCACGGAATTCTTCTGTACGGCACGTCATCGCGCACGTCGCATATCTAAAACCGCTCGACGTTGCTGCGTTTTGCCATTTAAGCGACTGCTCGACGTTGAGTAGGCACGGTTTCGTGTTGACCACAAGAGGTTTGCTTGAACGTAGGACATGGTGTCCGCGGCGTCCAAGGCTTAGTCTCGGTGCCTGACTCGAACATACGTCGTCAATGGATTTGACACGACAATGGTGTGTCCCTTGTCTCGAGACGTCGTGCTGTTGTCGTCGACATACCTGGTTCTAACGCCGCCTTCAACCGGATTACGGCTACTGTGTGCGTTGAGACAGGGTACTCGTTATTGAAGAAATTTTTTGAAATGGATGGCCTGAGGAGCCTCTCTGTAGCGTTTTGGCGCCAAGATTTGCATAAAGTTTGATGGAGTTGGCGGCTGTATTCACAGTATACATATATATTTATCAGTTTTGAAAGAATATTCGCTTCAAGGAGTTTAGTTGTGAGGACGTCTTACTTCGCTGATGTGCACAATATTCGACGAATGAAATGTTGTCTAATCGGAATTGATTGAGTGAATTAGGAAATCATCCTTGATCAAGTGGTGAGATCTTCTCTAATGCATACGTTCTTTACGATTGACTTCGTCAAATCTTTTTGACAAAATCATAGGCAATAGTGCTTCGTCATATTGTAAAATATTCGATGTTTGGTGAAAAACTTAGTCTCAACGTTCGTTGTAGGGAGTTGTTAGCGCAGAGGAATATTGGAAGTGATTTAATTGTCATCGTTAAATCGTTCTAGCTAAAGATGACTATGCAGTTCTCAAGCGACCGTGTCGCGTGTGCGGATGCGGGTGCGCCTAGCTGCCGACTTCTACAGACCACGCACACTCGACGTCGCGACATCATTAGTTAGATCCGTATGATCACTACATCCCCCCCCTGATGTCGCCTTGGTCTCTCGCGTCTTCTTGCGTAGGTCTTGGACAAGCTTCTTGAAATGCGCAACGTGCTTAATTGTTCGCTCCAACTCCAACGTTGCTTCGTGCTCTGGCAAACCATGCCACTTGACAAAGTATTCCTTCTTGCGATTGAACTGCCGTTGCTTTAGCAATGCTTCTATGATGGAGAGCTCATTTCCTTTGTCGTCCAGGACATGAGGTGTAGCCTTCGGAATAGAACGATTTTGGAATCGAGTTGGGTTTGACACGTGACGCTTCAACCTGTCAACGTTGAAGACATTATGCAGACGCCGCATTGACGCAAGTAGGGCCAACCGCATCGCATTTGAGTTGATTACTCGCGTCATTTGAAAGGGACCAATGAATCGTGGTACGAGCTTTGACTTTTCTCGCTTGTCGAGTAGCTGTGCATGATTTAAAGGATTGTCGCGTGTAGCTAGCATGACACTGTCGCCGACTTCAAATTCCACTTCGGCTCTCTTACCATCATAGTATTCCTTTTGGTGGGCTTGAGCCGTTTCGAGGTTGTCCAGGGTCTTCTTTAGCAACTCTTGCGTCGCTCCGCAAAATTCTTTGCATACTCGTTCAACGCCAATAGGTCATTTAACACTGGATTACGAAGATTATTGCCCGTATCAACGTCAAGGGAGTCATTCCCGTCGATGTTTGGACGAGTCCTTGATGAGCATACTCGATGGCTCCGAGATGTTCAGTCCAGTCGTGACCCAAATAGG